AAATGAATAACTCATAGTCCCTGTGCCAAACAACTCATAATCAGAAACAAGGACAAATAAAACAAACAATTTTAATACTGAATTCAAAGGTTTATACAGGAGTACACAGCAGTGTACTTATATGAAGAAGAGTGATTAACTCTGTGAGTTAAGAAGTTGAAAAGAATTGAGGAAAACAACCAAGGATTTTTAAATGACCTTTAAGAAGGAATTAAGCGGAGAAGTATGCCAACTGATCGGAGAGGGAGAATACATTAAACTTGAGAAACAGCAGGGAGTTCCTTGAAGAGTAGAGTAGGAAGAACACATATAAAATGGCAAAGCTAGAAAATTGGGCTAGGCAAAAATCAGGCCTTGCATAGAAAGCCAAGGAATCAGACCTACTATTGGCCAGAGCTTCCTACGAAGTATGCCTACAAATTGATCCTTTCCGTCTACAACATGGCCAGGAGAAAAACTGGTCATAGGGTAAGTGTGTATTTGATTTTATAACAAACTGACAGTTTTCAAACATAATTGCATCATTTTAATCCCAAGCAACACTGTGTGAAAGTTGTGGCTGCTCCAGTGATGGCTATTGTCAGTCTTTTAAATTTAAGCTATTTTAGTGGGTGTGTAGTGGTAACTCATTGCAGTTTCCCTGATGACTATTGATGCTGAGTATCTTTTCATATGCTTAATGGTCATCCTTGTATCTTATGAAGTACTTGTTCAAGATTTCTGCCCAATTTTATTAGCTTTTTTTAGAAAAATAATTGAGTTGAGGTGTTCTTTATATACTTTGGATACAATTCCTTTGCCAGATACATGTATGGTGATTATTTTCTCCTCGTCTATTGTTTTCTTAATGTTCTCTATTAACAAATACTGTATTAGTTTTCCATTCTGATTGAAACAAATTTATCAATATTTTCCCTTTATGGATAATGCTATCTCTTGCCTACTTGAATAAAAAATTGTGAAGACATTCCATTTTGCTTTCTTCTAAAAGCATTATAATTTTGCTTTAATGTCTAGTCTATGATCTGATCTTAAATTAATATTTGTGTATGATGTGAGGTAGGGATCAAAGTTCATTTTTTCCATATGAATATTAAGTTATTTCAAAACCATTTATTAAAAGACTTTCCATTCCTAATTGTGCTGTTTTGGTGCTGTAGTTGAAAACCAACTTGCTGTATAGTGTCTATTTTTGGACTCTGTTTTTGGACTTTTCCATTTATTATTTATATATCTTTATTCCAGTATCATATTGTCTTGAGTGCTACAGTTTTAAAGTAAGTCTTAAAGCCAAACAGTTTTAGTCCTTTACTTTTCATCTTTTTCATTATTGCTTTCAGATGTACTAGGTTTTTTGCGTTTCCAAATACATTTTCAAATCAGCATGTTGATTTCTACCAAAAAGAAAAATCTGATGCAGTTTTAACTGGATTTGATTGAATCTATAGATTAGGGATTCACAAAATGTGGGCTATTAACCAGCAGCATCACTATCACCAAGAGAACATGCTATAAATGCAAATATTTAGGCTATACGCCAGATTGAGTGGATCAAAAATCTCTGAGGTTGGGGCCTAGCAATCTATGTTTTAGCAAGTTGTTCAGGTGACTTGGATACACAATAAAGCATAAGAACTACTGCTGTGGATCAATTTGGGAGAATGAACACTTTAGTAATGTTGTATATTTCAATCCATGAACAGATACTTCCTTTCATTTACTTAGGTCTTCTTTAATATCTCTCACCAACATTTTGTAGTTTTGAGTGTACAGGTCTTGAGCACTTTTTGCTTAATTTATCCCATAGTATTCTACATTTTCTAATGCTAATGTAAATGGCATTCTAATGGCTACTGGTTAACCTTTAGCTATAATGTACAGAGATATGGAAGGAAGCTTATATGGGATTGGGTGTTCACTAAAAGATCTGAAAAGCAGTAGAAATCTCAAGTGATTAGGAGCATCTGGAAAACTAACCAGTTTTAACAAGTATGCAAGAATAGATTGTTTCCAATGAATGGATATAGGCATTAAACATAGATAATTACAAATATTACAAAAAAAGACAACCAGATATTATGCTATCCTATAGTCTTATCAAACATTTTCTACACTTTTTTTTTTTTGAGTTGGAGTTTCACTCTGTCACCCAGGCTGGAGTGCAGTGGCACACTCACGGCTACCTTAGCATTGACCTGGCAATCCTTCTGCCTCAGGCAATCCTTCTGCCTCAGCTTTCCAAGTAGGTAGAATTACAGGCAAGTGCTACCACACCTGGCTAATTTTTTACTTATTGTAGAGATGAGGTCTCGCCAAGTTGCCTGGGCTGGTCTTGAACCCGCAGGCTCAGGCAATCCACTCACCTCGGCCTCCCAAAGTGCTGGGATTATGGGCTGAGTCACCAAGCCCAGCCCATTTTCTACATTCTTGACAAAAAGATTGAACATGAGGATCTAGTTTCTGGATCTGGCTGTCAATTTGGAAGAAAGAGGGCAGAGAAACATGATGAGCTGTTCCAAGAATGTAAGATCAGCAAAATCAAGACTGTGGCAAACCATATAGGTCAACTGGGTTGGGTTTTTCAACAGATAAATTTGTAAGGAAATAAAGAGATGGAGGAAGATAGATTGAAAGATTTAAAGCAAATATGAAGTTTTTACAAGTTGAACAAGTCTAAACTATAATATACATATAGGCAATAGAACAATTTTAAAATGCTAGGAAATGATTACTATGAAAGTCAGGCTAGGGTTGCTTTTGTGCAGAGAGGAGGTTGTGATTGGGATGTAGTAGTTGGCAAAGTTCTATTTCTTGACCTGGGTAGAATTTGTCTTATAATTCCACTGCTTAGCAATTTATTAATCTATCCTATGGTTTTTAATGTTTGTTTTATTTTACATTAAAAAAGCTTTTTTCCCTGCTGTTAGTGTGTTGTATCTAGAATCTGGACTTGAAGAGTATAAAAGTTTTAGTGGTAGAATGGTATTTGGTGATGATAAGAACTAAGGTGTGCCTACAGAAGTGGTTGCTCCCTTGAGGCAGGGATTTCTAGTATGGATGAAGTCAAGTAACTGAGCAGCTAAGACTTGGAAAAGCACTGAAAGGAGAAGACTCGACACCAGGTTCTAATCTCAGCCACCAATGTGTCAGAGAGGCCTGAATGTCAGCAGAAATAAAAAGGATGATCAGGTATGGAGAAATGCATTTGGATTACAAAGGTCCTACACTCTCTTGGGTCCACAAACTGGAAGACTATTTAGAGATTCAAGGAGCAGCTGAACCCACTTTCTTTCTGTGGGTATGGGAAAGCAAGCATAACTCACCTCAAAGAAAAAAGGAACTCCGTATCTTTCAGGCACAGGCAGATTTCAAAGGAGGTTGTGTGGCAAAGAAAGTTTCTAGGAAAATATTAATGGTGCAGAAATTCCTGAAATGCAACAGAAAGGGTAAGGAGGAAAGAAAAGATGTGTGTGTGTGTGTGTGTGTGTGTGTGTGTGTGTATGTATTGGGGAAGGCAAGAGAGGAACATAAAGAACAATGTGACTAATAGTACATTAGAAAGGAGGCAACAAGATAGGGTTCCTTTCAGATAAAAAATAACAAGAGTGAGCACCATGGATAGAAAGATTTGGTCTCACTGTTCTGAATGGAGTTTGTTTGAGGGGCTGGAATTAAAATTTACAGGGGTGGAACCTGAGGTCCAATTATTGCAGTTGCATCCATCTAATCACTTTGTATATCAGTGTTTCTGTGGAAGAAGGCTTTCAAAGTTTCCGAGGATAGAGGAAGCACCTTACCCTCTGAAAATAACAGCCCTTAGTACGATCAAGAGAAGGTCTCAATCCATCCTACCACCATAAACTACTTGGCATACCTCTGGGTCACATCAACTTTTTTTCCCCAAAAAACTAACTGATGTTGGAAAGAAAGGTCTTGAGAAAAGTAAGGTAAGGCAGAAGCAACATACAAAGCTGGCAAAAAAACAAACAAACAAAAAAACCAAAACACATACAAAGCAGGACCAAGAATTGTGCTCACTCAAATTCCAGCCAATAGAATATTGATGGGATCAGTGTTTCTGTGAGGAATGAAGCAAGTAAAGGTGATATGCCAATTGGGATATCGTCAAGATTCTTCCCTAACTTCTCAACAAACAGGGGTTGAATATCGGAGCCCATTTATGCTGTAATCAGGGCTTGCAGCAATGAAGAAATAGAGAACAGAAAAGAGGAGGGAAGTCCTAAAAGTAGGATAAAGGCAGTATCTCTAGATAAATAGTATACAAGGCAATATGTTAATACATTTGGAGATTCTCCTTTTTGAAATAATTCATTTCTTACAAAATAATTTTAGAGCTCTTTATATTATATTTTAAAATAAAAATTATGAAATTACTATTTTTTAAACACATATACCACGGAATTTCTGTACTTGTTATTTTATTGTTTTTACCACCAGGGCTATATATTTATAAGTTTTAAGTAAAAATTTAACCCAACTGTTTACTATTGAATGTTACATGTTGTTAATTGTATACTTTAAGTTTCTTTGGGTACTTGATGGAGTTAAATATATAAAATCCTGTAACATAAGAGCATGGTTTGGATAACGCCATGAGGCTCGGTGTTGCTCAAACTTTTCCACCAAAGTCTCAACACAGAGAACTCCCAGGAGACAGGCGAAAAAGGCTAAATGACTTGATACAAGTTGCTTACAAGTCCAAACTTTCTAAAAAGTGTTTTTATTTTGTTGTACATTTTTATTGTCATTAAAAATCTTAGATAAATTTTGTTATATTCCAGAATATGCACATTTATCTTATCATACATTATTAGTAATATATAATATTTATGTTATTTTACTATAAAAAATTAGTACTTTAGGAAAATGCATCACATTTTTTCTGAAGCTTCATGTATCCTTGGAAGTATAAACTCCTAATTGAGAAACACTGCATTATAAACATATAATATTTGAATATTTTCCTTGTATATTCTTACCTCCATAGTAGGTGGAGTCTTTCTTGTTTTTCTAATCCAAGCTACAAAGAAAAATAACATTTAAGATGTCAGTTTTCCATAATTTGCACAAAAATTTTTATCATTCACACATAAAACAAATATTTTTTGAGTACCGACTCTATATTAATTTAGGTTTCAAGAAACAGCAGGGAAGCAAACAGATGAAGTCTCTCCTCTACTGTAGCATATATACTCCTAAGGGGTTACAGAAAATAAACATGCAAACATACTTCTGGCGGTGATTTGTGCCATAAAAAAATCATGAGAAAATAAAGAGGGGACAGATTCATATCTTTAAAATCATACCTCTAATTGTCTAAATTCAATTTAGCATATTTATGGCAAACAGGCCAAACCAAAATACAGTAAACTTCAAGGCAATATCAAAAGCGTATTATTCTGGAAGTTTGAATTAGTTATTGTTCAATTTCTAATGGAAGGGACATAGGTTTCCATTTACAGAGATTTCTCTTCTGATCTGCTTCAGCAAGCAGCTACCTCCTCTGGTTGATGAGTATCATCAGGCCTTAGCTCTAGCACTTGGGAGGAGAGCTGCTGAGGTACAGCTCACATTTGTTAAGTGTCTGCTGGGCACTGGGCACTGTGCTAGATGCCAGTGTGCAACAATGGTGGGGGGAGTGAGGCAGCTGTTTCTAGGGAAGTTATCGGAATCACATGGAGAGGGTACAGCATAGTGCTTATGAGAGGGTTTCTAAAGTCAGATTTTTGGGGCACTCAGATACCAGCTTCAAATGCCAACTTACTAGCTATGTCACCTGCAGCAAGTTATTTAATTTTCTGAGCATCAGATTTCCCATTTGTAAAATAGAAATTAAAATATTATCTACCTTTGGGGTTGTTGTGAAAATTATATGAGATAATATACATAAATGCTTAGTTCAGAGCCTGGAGTAAAGTAAGCACATAAATTTAAGTTACTACTATTATTATCACTACCATTCAATAAAACTTTTTTTTTTTTTTTGAGTCAGAGTTTCACTCTGTCTCCCAGGCTGGAGTGCAGTGACATGCTCATGGCCATTCCAGCGTCGACCTGCTGGGCTCAGGCAATCCTTCTGCCTCAGCCTTCCAAGTAGCTGGAACTACAGTGTGCACTACCACGCCCAGCTAATTTGCTGATATATTGTAGAGACGAGGTCTCACCAAGTTGCCCAGGTTGGTCTTGAAACCCTGGGTTCTTGCTTCGGCCTCCCAAAGTGCTGGGATTACAGACTTGAGCCACTGTGCCCAGCCTATTTTTAAACAAAAGACAAAAAACAAAGATCAATAATATCTGCTTAGCCTATGATGATATAAAGGAGACTCAGAGACTATGGAACATGGTCTTTAAAAATAGAAAACCACTGTTTTATCACTTTAAGTTGATTCCATCTTCACTAAAAAATGTGAGGTATCCTTATTTCATCAAGAAATAAGATATCTTTCCCAAGTTTATACATTAAGTAGTAATGATGGGATCTGAGTTCAGATCTGACTCTGTCTGTGGCTCTAAAATTCATCCAATGTTCAACTAAGTGTTCTTTCCAAGTTTTAGGGAACAATGTGCAAAAAATCCAAAACTGAACCACAAAGAGGAATAGGTGCAATCATAACTATAAATAAGTTTTTATTGGGACACAGCCACACTCATTTGTTTAGAGAATAGGAATTACCCCATTTTACAGCTTGGGAAATGGCTTGGAGCAATTAAGCAACTTGCCTAAGGCCATATAATTAGTGAGTAGCAGACTGGGAATCAAACCCCTGTTGAACTGGCACTAAAGTCTGAACTCTATCCATTCACTAGCCACCCTCTCTTCTGACCAGCTCCAATAGCCTACCCACTTCATCCAGGTACAGATGGTTCTTCTCTTATGATGGTTTGAATTAAATGGAGCAAAACCATTCTATCTTAACTTTCAGTACAGTATTCAATAAATTACACAAGGCATTCAAGACTTTATTACACAAAAGGCTTTACGTTAGACGATTTTGCCCAACTGTAGGCCAACATAACTGTTACAAGCACATTTAAGGTATGCCAGGTTAAGCTAAGATGTTTGGTAGGTTGGGTGTATTAAGTACATTTTCGATGTAATGACATTTTCAACTGACAATGGATTGACTGGGACATAACCTCATTGTGAGGTAAGGATCATCTGTAATAGCACCAAGGCCTATTCTCATTAAAAGCCTAGCACTGAATGGTTGTGGGGGTGGAAATATTAAAACTATGGGTCTGGGATTACTCATTTCCCCTGCTCTGATCCATACATGAATTTCCAACATCAGTTCAGTGTTCTGCACTCCCTACCTCTGCTTCTGGAGTCCTCCCCTGTTATTTTTTTCTGCATTCACTTCCTCATTAGCTTCCACTCATACATGGCCCTTTTCTAGCCAAAAGTTGCAGAGATTTTATATCCCTTGATAGGCTATAAGATAGTTAAGGGCAGGAGACATCCATGGGAGATATAGTCTTCTGTCACCTAAAAGCCTCAAAAGAACAGGTACAATTGTTGAATTAGTATTTCTACTGAAAAAATATTTGTTGTAATAGGATTTTGGTCTGTATTAGAAAATTCAGTTTACCAACACCAAAATTCCTCTGTGAAACCAATGCAATAAGTGATAGAACTTTTCAACTGACTGGTTAAAATTAAAGTTACTTATCTATATGTATGAGTTTTTTTCCCCTAGAAAAGAGGTTTCTTTTAAATTGACTCAACACGAATCATATATCTGTAAAAGGCCTGAAGCAATAATATCTTCAGTTTTAACTTAGATTAGAAAGTTAATTCAAAAACATTAACTGCTAAAGCAGGGGTCAGCAAACTATACCCTGCAAACCAAATTCAATCCACTACCTTTTGCATTTTTAAGTGATTACAAAAATGCGAAAATAACAATATTTCATGACACATGAAAATAATATAGAATTCAAAATGTCAGTGTCTATAAATAAGTTTTTATTGGGACACAGCCACACTCATTTGTTTATGTATTATCTATGGTTGCTTTCACACTACAACATAAGAGTTGAGTAGTTTTAACAGACAAAGTGGCCCATTAAGTCTAAAATATTTACCATCTGGCCTTTTAAATAAAAAGTTTGCCAACCCCTGTGCCAGGGCTACTATTAAGTATAATTCCTATAAAGCATATATCTTGATACAAAACGCTTTCATATTATAAAAATAAAAATCATTATTAATTACTATACTTTTTAACTAATGATGACCATGTATTCTAGAGTCTATGAACACACACAAGTGGGCATAAAATCATACTGAAAAGTATAATGACATAATGTACATTTATTATTACCATGAGGAAAAGAACTCAAAATAACAATTTGTCTTGCTGATGAATCTATAAAATAGCATTTTCAGTTCTTTTGCAAGTCTGGAAAAAGAAAAATACATCAATAGAATTGAAATCATTAAAAAATTCTAAGGTAGGTAAAGAGGCTGGGGAAACTCTGACGTGTTTTTTTAAGCTTACTGGTTTTGTATAAATTTATGAAACTCACTCATTGATATAAGAACTCAGATACTAAATGTGTTCAATACCACCTAGCCTATTCACTGTTATGGGACGCTATTCACTAAGGAAAAATATTGGGGCTTCCTTGGGCCTCATTTCAAATGACCATTTAAAGAATCTTTGTTTTATATAGGTATACAGATATAATGGCAAAAATAAGTTTGTATATTTTTAGTTGTACAATGAAGAGATACCTGAAATGTTTTGTTGAGATGATGGCTAATACCACGACTTCTTGTTATGTATGCAGGAAAGGTTACAGCTGGAAATGTTTAATGTGATCACTCATTTATATAATCACACCCAGCTTTCCAACCACTATATGTAATAAAGGAAATGTCCTGCTAAAGTTTGGCAAAGATCAGGAAGAGAAAGCAATAGAAGAAAGGATTAATATCAACTTTTTCAATTTAAAAAACAATCTGAAACTGAACCTTTACCCAAATATAAATTATGTAATAATTTTGCCTTGCTAATGATATCTGTGTGGTGAATTCTATACTAGTTGTCAGTATAATATAAACTTGTTTGAAAAGAATATAGCAAGATAATAGACAGTTTACACCTTAAGGACAGTTTACACCTTAAGATCCTAGTATTCTTTTATCAATGTTCATTTGCATTCTCATCAGTATGCATGAGATTTTCACTGAACCTTAATATTCCTATTGGAACACAACACACTATAATGAGTGTAAAAGTGAGCATGCAAATTAAAGCTCCCATTAATCACTAAAAGAGACTAGAAGGAGCAGGCAGGAAAACACTTCATGAAGCATACATTCTTCAAATCTCCATAGGTGCAAAAAATGGCAAATGCACTTTTAGAAGAACTGCCAACAGACGCTAAGGTAAATGTGATATTCTATCACCAGATTCAGTAGGTGACCATTCAGAACCAAAATTATGAAAATGTTATCAACAGTCTGTATCCAAAAAAACTGCATTAGAAATATGCACTTACTTCACTTAAGGAAGAGACTGTAATAAAGTCTCATCTTTTAAAAAATGATCTTTGCCAGTTCTGGGTGTTGAAACTTCATAAAGGGCTATAAAAATTTTTAAAAATCTATATTTTCTAATTGAAAATTCTTCAAAGGCTATATTATAAAATGAATTATTTTTCTGACACTGATCTTTGTATTATTAAATTAAGTTGCTATGAATAAGTTTTGTGATGTTCATGGCTATTACTCTTCTCTTTTCTTAATCAGCTTATTGAGAAATAATTTACACACAGTACAATGACATCATTTTAAGTGTACAATTTCACAACTTCTTATAAATGTATACAAACCTGTGACCAGCATCACAATCAGTATACAGAACATTTCCATCATCCCAAAATTTTCTAGCCTCTGTTTATAAGGAGCCTCCACAACTTCCACCTCCTGGTATTCACTCATACCTCTGTATGATTTCTCTCCTTGACTGAGGGCAGTACCTGTGACTTCTAACTATGAGAATATGGCAAAGG